TTAATTGTAAACATTGCCTCTGTACATTACTAAAGTCAAATTTATTTAATATCGTAAAAAATCACATTTCTTGACTTAATATATATATAATATATTATTTAAATAAATTGTAGTGAAAATTGTAAAATTTATTAAAGATCATTATAATATATAGAATTAAATGGATTGTTATTTAAAAATTAGAAGTTTTCGAATAGAAATGAAAAGACAATAACAAACACTATAGCTAATTTATTTGGCTGACCATACAACGCTGTTTCGAGCATTGCCAAGCACTCATCAGCAGTGTTCTTAGGAAATATTCGAATTTTCGAATTAATTTCTTGTTTTAATTTCTAAATGAGTAATATGCTGTAAGGCAGATCGGACTCTATATCCTAATACTATCTAATGTTTTAGAAAATTTTTTAAGAGTTAAACTGTTGAAAGAGGGTCTTGTGAAAGTAAATATAAATTTAACATTTTGTTGATCAATGAATAGTGTTCTTAAAAAATTGGAAGAGACATGTTATTATAAGGACACTTGAATGCATTGATAATTTATTAAAAACACTGCATGTAAATCAATCTAAATTTATTATTACTTGTTACTACGTCAGTATTTTGCACTGATTTCTAAACTATTTGATATTCAATAATTTTGAATATTTAAAAATAGTAGTTGTTTAATTTTTTCTTAGTAATCAATTATAATTGTATTCTGATACGTTTCAATGTTTCATGACGTATTCATTAAATAATGCATTTACAATTTTAGAATGAGCATTTTAAGCGTTTCATTCATGATTTTATCTGAATTTAATTGAAAGTAATACCATTTTCATGTTCCAACAAAGTTCTTAATGCATGAAGTCCAGTACAGAAATAGATGTTGCTAAGACTTATAAGTAAAATTTTTAAACAAATGATTGGTTTGTTTGCATTTTAGCATATTTGTGCAAATTAATACAAAATGTTTTTAAAGTTTAAGTTTGTACCAAACATTTTTCGCACTTAAAATATTTAGTTTTTTTTTTTGAACATAAAATTTTAAATCAATTTTTAAATAAATCAAAGGTAACCGCTTAGATACAATGTTTCAAAAGTCACTAAAGGTGCATTTTATCTGAAATGACACTAACCTCTAAAGAGCTTTAGCTTTGTATTGTAAATGTGTTAATTGAAATAAATGAATCTAAGTTTGTCATTGATTTCCATTAGAATTTTTTTTTGCAAAACATCCTTTTAAATACACAAGTAAGTAAGCAGTGCTATATGGATATATAGCATATATACGATATATAGTTTCTAATTTAAATTTTTTGTTTTTTCATATTCTTTTAAGATTTGTAGCACATAATGCACTATATATAATTAAAAGCATAGAAATAGTTTAAACGCAAGTCAATGATGCAATTACATACGACATGTTAATAAGAATAAAGCTCAAAGCATACATTTTGCAAGAAACTTACATAGTTGAATTTTAAACAACAAAATATTTGTTTTATGAATTTGTGGTATACTATATAGTTTATCTGAATCTTTATCGTATATAACTTCGCAATGTTTTTGATGTCACATAACCAAAAATATTTCAACGCAAACTTCCGGCAGTGCGTATATTTATTTTATACAAATAAATTCGCTAAATTTTGTAATAGAATGCGTACAGTTCTTTGTAGTTTGGTTTTTTTCCTTTACAAAGTAAGATAAACAAGCTGGAATTTTTTTTTTTTTTTTGCTATATTAGCGGCATTGAAGACATGAAAGAGTCAACCACAAAAATTTGAGATATTTTCGTTACTAGTTTCGCTGCACGTGTCAGATATATTGTATAGTAGCTATACAATTCAGCAAACATTATATCGAGAGAAGCAAAATTAAGTTCTATGAATATTTTAGTTAAAAGTTTAATGAATAAACTACAGTTGTGGACAACTTTCATTTATTCGCTGATAACATACTAAATGCGTGTGGTCTGCCAAAGAGAAAAATTCAAGCACATATGTACTGTATTGTATATAAAAAATATAATTGTATTAATTATTATTATATTAGTGCAAAAAATATATATGTTATAGGCTTGTCTATAGTATACTTTCATTATCTCATCACAGAAAATGAAAGTATTTAAATTGTCTTTCCCTTGCGGATAAACACATTTTTTTTTTTTTTTTTTTGCGGCAAGGAGGAGTGGAATGTCTACGCACTAACCACCTTCCGGCGCCCCGGAAGGTGAGTGCCCGACTCGCACGGGCTAAACCACTCCCCCTCATTCCTAGACCTTTTTCTACCCCGGGACTACGTTAGTATTACTTCGGGGTAGGGTCCCTATTAGTCATTTAAGACTTCCATCGGTGTGCCTTGCGTCCAGGCTCCGCTACTGTTGCAGATAATTAATCTTGCCCTACAGTCTACCTTTTCCAATCTCAGAGTATGTGTTCCGGCTCTCATTCGTGCTCTTCGTTTAAGATTAGATTGCGTCCAGATCTTTCTTCTTTTCTTTTAGAACATTTCCGATGAATTGCGTGATTTTGTTCCAATTTTCTGCTCGTTCTATCATTTTTTCTACAATATTATCTACTGTAAAGTGACTTATATATCCTGCAAGTAGTGTTCTTTCTCCACGCCATCTTTCGCAGTTGAAGAAAGTATGCTCAGCATTGTCCTCGACTGATCCGCAATATATACAGTTGGGCTGCTCTGCTTTTTGCATTCTGTATAGATATTTCCGAAAATATCCATGACCAGATAGGAACTGTGTGACATAATAGTCAATCTCGCCGAAATTTCTTAATGTCCACGACTTTACGTTCGGAATCAGCTTTGCCGTCCATATTCCTCTTAAATCGGAGTTCCACCGTTGTTGCCAGATCTGAAAAGTTTGTTCTCTTATATCTTGAAGGTCTGTTGAGTTGCTTGTCGATCTCTGTTTCCAGCGTTTCTTCCGTTCATGTGCCTGAAGGTCGATAGGGATGATTCCACTAATCACCAGAACTGCAGGCTCGGATACGGTTCGATATGCAGAAGCTACCCGATGAAGCTACGGATAAACACATTGCATATATATAATATATCTAAAATATCACACTTTATATATATTACTTTATACTATATATTTATATATAATTTAGACTTATAAGTCTATAATAAATTTAGTTTCATAGCTGGATATTCCGAGTTCTTAAATTGATGTATATATGAA